TCTTTCCTTTGCAAATGTGCACTCTTCTCTTTCACCCTCAAAATAGTATGCAACTGAGTACAGAAACTATCCTGATCTGCAATAACTTTATCTCAACCACTGCTCAGATGAAAGGAGTCATCTGTAATTTGCATTTCCAAAGATGAATAAATGCTAAGATGGATCTGGGATAGTTCAGCAGAGTAGGCAATGGCTTGAACCAGAAAGCCATTATTTGAATAATGCCTAGACTGCACTGACAGCAGACACCACCAGCTCCTTGCATTCCTTTAACTCAAGAACATAAAGAAACATGGAGTCTGCTACTACAGAGTCACTAACTGCTGGCTGGGAATACCCTGGGAACCCTGTATTTACCTCTCCTATGCTATATGGACACCTTTCATATCACTCTGCGATTTGAGGCTTCTCATTCACAGCCTCATGAGGGAGATGAATTCATGACAAACAGAAGAAAGACAAGTTGCATTTGGAACCATTATGGGACATTCTAATACATCAGACTGCAGTAGCCTTCTGTGATGCTGCCAGGCATGAGCAAGATCAAAATATCTTACCTTTTTATCTAGCATTTTGTTTGTTTATCCTTTTTGTTTAAACTTTCACCTACTTCAGTGGTTTTGCCCACAGCATCTCAAATTCACCAAAGGTTTAGGTGTTTATCAGATAAGGACCTCAAAACTTGCCACTTTATTTCCAGGAAAACCAAATTTTCATTCTTCTTCTCCCAGAAAGTAAATTATGGTGTTATTATATTTTCACTATTTGTAGCTGTCTCACAACCACATACCAAAAAGTATTAGGCCAGTGTTCAGGGACTATCACTGAACCATGTTATTAATTAACACACAGATGATAAAAGCACGGGTTTAGAATCAGTTTGAATTGTTCTACACTTCATTTACTTGACTTGTATGCATCCCGAAATACGGACTGCTGGTGCAAATTAAAAAAGGCCCTTGCTGTTAACAAAGGATGAAGCTTCTTAGGTGCTCCGTTCCCTCAGGTCCCCCCAGCCCGAAGGCAAGGCTCCCCACAGCAGGCAGTCCTTTCCCAGCCGTGTTTCTGGGCACAGCTGGGGCCCACCCCGCGGGGCCTCGGCCCACACGTACCTGCTTGACCTCGGCCTGCAGGTGCCGCAGCTGCACGCACTGCTCCAGGTGCTTGCGGTGCTGCTCGGCGGCCACGTCCAGCTCCTGCTGCTTCTCGTGCAGGAACTCCAGCAGGTCCTGGACACGCGTTGCCATGTCTACATCTCTGTCACAAAGCAGCTCAACGCCTGAAATCAACCGGTTCTTTATAAATGACTTACAAGTCTTCCAAAGAGAAATAGCCCATTCCCACTGTTTTACACTTATTTTTCCAGTTACTTCCCAAAGTTCAACTTAATACTCAAAGGATTTGCTTCAATGAACACAGGTTTTTGTACTTTTAAAAATGCAGTATTAACTTTCTTTTTTTTTGTTGTTATATTTTTATGTATATTTTATATATAGGCTGACACTTCCCCTAGGTGACTGTATACAGTTAAAAATATCAAGTGAAGGGGCAGAAGAAACACAAAAGGAAGACATTACCTGAAACCTGAAAATTTTGGCTGGACTGCATTGCTCCAATTAACTATAAAATTAACTCCCTCACTTTACCAGCTTCCTGAGTGAAATCCCTTTCTTTAAAACCTTCCAATTCTTAGATAAGAATGGCACACCATAACAACAGTATATTGTCATGAATGCTATCAAATGATTTGCATATAAAGGAAAAAAAAAAACCACCACCCATGTCCATGTCCACGTGTCTCTACTTTACAGTTAACCAGCATCTCCGCTATTTTCACACATCCCAAGGAGAGACAACTGAATAATTCTTATAAAGCCACTGCCCAAAACAGCATGAAAGAGCCATCTTACCAGATGCCTGCACTTCATTGACATACTGCAGCAGATCCTGCCCTTGGTGGATGACATCAAAGGTCAAGTTATTCATGGTCAGGGCTTTGTCTGCATGATGCTGGAGCCTCTGTTCTGCTATTGTAAGATCTTCAGTGTCAAAGTCATTCATCTGCTGAGAGAGCTCATCATTCCAAGACTCGAGGTCTGAAATTATCTGGGAGAAAAAGGAGGACAATGTTCAATTACCCATTACACAACATACGTTTATTTCCAATGCTGCACTTACCATGGAGGTCAGGAACCTGAGTTGCTCCTGGCTGATTGACTTCACTGATCAGGTTCAACACAGTTCAGACATAGGCTGTTTTAGCATGGATTTTAAATTTCCACAGATAATCTGGAAGAATCTCTTTGAGAATCATTACAGCTCTCCTTCAACCAGTGCATGCAATATTATGTGTACCCTTGCCTTGTTTCAATGTACAAATTCATCAACACATCATTTGTCAAACAGATGAACTTCAAGTGTTATAATCCACATTTGTAAAGGAAAATGTTCATCTAAAACATCTTTTCAGTTCTTCAGAATGCAGCAGTTAATAATTCTCAAATCAAGCACCAGTGTAGCTTTCAATTGTGCCAGTCTCGAGCCCTTTACGAAAAAGCCAGGTCTGCCCTTCTGTGAGCAGGAAGCGTCAGGCTCTGTGAGCACCCCTGGCTTCTGCCAAACAACTGAGAAGCACTACTTGTCACAAAAGGCAGGGTACTTAGTGATGGAAAAACCCAAGAAATATTGCTTTATTACAGTATTGCTGTAACACTAGAGCTAAATCTGCTTGATGAAATCATGCAGCTACACTTAAGTTTACACTTCTGGATTTTACTCTGCCATAAGATGCCCATAGAAGAGTAGCTGAGAAAGTATTTTTTTTTTTTTTTAACGCATGTATCACAGCAATATGTCCTCCCTTTCTCTCCACACAAATGCATTTTCCAAATCACATTGCAAACCCTGGGCAAACTGTAAAATATTCCCTTTAATTAGGACACAAAACTATTTTTAGGTTTAACAGATAAGTTACAATCCTCACTGATCAAATTGTTTTGCATTCTTATGGCACAGAGCTGATGCATCAGTTACTTCAAACAAGGCTGGCACATTTATCCCTCAAGCCTAGAATAATTTTTTTTTTTTTTTTCTTCAGAATTTTCAGCACAGTTTTGCCACAAAATACTGCAGTTACTGGAAAAACATGTATGGCTCAGTTCCAGAGGTCTTTGAATTCAGGAATAGGACAAATTGATGTGAATGGTGCTAAATGACAAGAAAACACCTATTGATGCAGCAAGACACAGCAAAAAGAGGTTCTAACTAAGGTGGCACTAGCAAAGTACCTGACTGCATAAATATTTAACCAAAGTCATTTGTTGTCAGGAAAAGGAATATGCCACTATGCTTTCCAAGTGGTTAATCAGAGCTGTGAAGTTACTGAGACAGATAAACTCCAAGAGAAATTCCAGGAAAACAAGCCTTCTAGAAAAAACAGAACTGAGGAGAAAGAAAAGTTAAATCATTTGTATAAAGTTTCTGTGATCAGATACAATCTTTCTTGAAGGGTTGTTTCCATGCTGCTCACATGGCATCATAGAAAATGGACACCGTGCAATTACTAAAACTGTCATGGAGTTGCTTCCGGCTCTAAAAGTGTTTGTTCTGCAAAAATTTTACTTGCTTCACTAAGTATCCAAGTTCTGCACCACGTGATGATGAGAGATACCAAACAATTAGGATAGCTATTTGTAATCCCTAATCCTGATCAGCTAGCTCTACCAAAGTGAAAATAGGCAGAAACTCTGGGGTTTTTCTTCTCTCATGCACCTCAACCCTCCTCTTCCCAGCCCATCTTCAAAACTCAGTGTTCATTCATTACTGAAAGTGGTGGACGTTTTCTAACATTTGTTTCTTCAAACTGCTGACTGCACTATGGAAGTTCTCACAAATCAGACATACCATCTTATTTTTCATCCAGTTTTGTTAAAAATATTCCTAAGTTATCCTCAAGAAGTAATTGTAGTTAAAAACTTGGTCAAACTGAGAAATCCAGGCTTAAAAGAAGGCTGTGAAACTGCCATCAAAACATCATCTTTCACCATCTTTCTAAACACAATTAAACACTAAACACTACTAAAAAATAGATTCAGATACAACAGGGCACATTTGTGCTACTATTGTAAAAGCAAAGCCAGCCCTCCTCCACGCAGAACAGATACCAAAACCTTACCCCTATTACTGGCAAATTGGGTGCAAATAAACTAATAAACACAGTAAACTCACAACAGGACACTGCTGTGGCTAAGCATATTTTTATAATAATGGAATGGCTTAAGCAGCTTGCAGTCACTATGCCCTCAGACTATCCTGACATTCACTGTACCTGATATGAATAACAGGTAGTTTTAAGAGGTCAGCTCTGTGTGTCACCTCAGCCAAGAGGTTTTAGCAGTACTGTCTCCAGAGAACAATGAACAACAGTAAGAACTGTAACTTCTTCCTTGTTACTTCATGCAACCTCAAGGTTAAGATCATGGCCCACACATTGTTTAAAGCAGCGTGAAACACTCTGTACAAGAGCAAGATATTCCCTGTCCCCTTCAAAAACCAGGAAGCCCACGATTCAGATAAATAATGCCAGCATGGTCCCACACTCATTCAAAAGACAGGAAGTCAGTAAACATCACAGTCAGGGTTCCTTACAAGGGCAGCAATCCTTCCTTTTTTTCAGCAGTAATCAGGTGATCTATTTCAGCCACTGCACCCACTGTGCTACTCTGAAGTGCACTGAGGGCAGCGTTAAAACAAAAAGAACGAGCATTAAGCCCTCTCTGTCCATCCTCACCAGTGTTTCCCCTGAAGTTCTGCTTTACAAGCAGCACTTTTAGAGTGAGCAGGCTCCTATTTTGTTCGCTAAGTTTTGTCAAGACATTTAGCATTAAACAGAATAAATATGAATGATCAACAGACATCTAAAATAACAGAATCGGGAATTAATACTGCTCTCAGGGAATGGACAACCCAGCATAAACACAGGGTAACTACTTACCATAGCACGTGTTCAAGAAGTTCCTAGTGCATGGTCTGAGCTGCCTGAAGTTCCTAGTTTTAACAAATGCAAAGCTAACACTGGCAGGGAACAAAGCAGGGTGTAACACAGCAGGGACGCTGACTCTCGCACTGAGAGGGAAAGAAGTAACGAACCACAGGTCTCTTCTCAGAAGGGTCTAACTAGCATACCATGTAGCAGCTGAGTGCTAACCAGGACCTGGAAAATATTACATGCTGGGAAGAATGAAAATGGGGAAATGGGAAGGAGGAAAAGAGCTAGGTCTCTGCGATCCAGCACCCTGAATCCTTGCCTTTTCAGCTCCATGACTTAACAGGCATCTTGTAAGTGTGGTCAAAAATAGAGCTGAGATAAGGCTGCGAGTCTATAAGCGTGTGGTATGCTTGTGTGGAGACCTGACAGAGCCCTTGAGGCATTTAATTTAGACAAAGAAAAATACACAGATAGAGATAAGACACACACATTTGAGGCTGCATACACTGCCACCAGTGTTCCCTTCCCACTGGCTAGGCCCATACACACTGTCCTTATCCTACTAATTACCCTAGCAAGGGACTTTTCCCATGTGGTGTTTTGCTCCTTCTTGCCTTTAGTTAAAACAGGTGCTCACAACGGAGTCCCTCAAACAGCTCATGACCTATGGCACTTAAGAGTCTACTAAGGATAAAGAAGGTCAAGGTTATATGCCAAGTGCAAGGGGCAAAAAAAGACAATGCTGCAGTTACAGCAATTTCAGAAGAGCAGGCTAATCTGAAAAGTTGTAGGATAAAAGACTAAAAGAACCAGAGTCAGTGAATAATGAGGGAAGAGTAAAGACAAGAAGAAGAGCACTAACCCTGCCTGCAGATCTCACCACTGTCCTGAGAAGCACAGCTGTATGGTATGATCCTGCACCAACAGGGGAACCTTTTGTCCCACTGTTTCCTGTGCTAGTTTGCAATCAGTAAGACAAGCCAGAAACACTACTGGCCTTCCACAAAAGCTGTCCTCAGAGGAAACTTCCCTGAACAAACTGCCCCTACAGCCAAGTCTTAATTAATTGGATCAGTTGCACAAAATCCTCCATAAAGGATGAGGTCAGAGCAAGGTCTGCAAGTAGCTAGCTGGCTTCTGGTTCCTCCTCACTATCATGTTATAGCTGAGCTTCTGGTTTCAAACAACTAACCTGGAACTAGTCCCTGCATTTCCTTCCTGGAAGTTTCAGAACAGATGTTTGCTTTCAGGGAAAAGAGAAGTGTGATTTGCTGAGGAAGCAGAGAGAGGACACGGTACAGACACAGCAAAGCAATCAGCATTTTCCTGAAGACACTCTTCAGCCAGGATCATTTTGTTCCCTGGGGGGTTCCCCGGCAATTTTAAATAAGTACAATTTTTGTTTCCAAGCCACATAAACAAAATAAACCAGCTCTTTCAAGAAAGTAACTCGTACTTCGCTTTAAGTTGTGTGTGCCAAAATGTAAAGCATGCCAAGTGTTAGCTTTAGAAAAAGACCTGTCAAGTTAGGGTTTGCAGCTTTCCAATGCAAAATCCTAAGGCCATCACCAAACAACATACACAGAAGTACTACTACCTACACAGATGCTGTCCTGTACTGAAGGACTAGAACACATCTGCAAAGCAGGGCTCCTGCAACCAGCCTCCTGCTACTGTAGAATCCAGGTTTATGTAACCTACAGCAGAGAACAATCACCACAGTCATGAACTTCATTTAAACCTTTAACTTAATTCTTCCACTAATTTTCTTTCATTAATTTTCTTCTTGCCCTCCATACCTGCCATTTCTTCAATAAAAGTGTTCCAAGAACATCACACAAACAATGAGCACTGCAGATGACTTATGCAGACTGTAAAATTGTGACAATCCTATAGAAGGGGTTGCCTTCTATGTTCTTCCATGTGTCTCAGCCTTCCATCTAATTATTATAATCACAATTCTGCCAAAACTTTACCCTCGCATACACAAGACAGCTACTCTAATGTAATTGAAGTGGCAAACTCCCTGCAGACTGGTGTGAATTGCTAAGCAGAGAACCTCCTTAGTGTTCCTTTACACCAGAGCTGTTATTACTGTAGGGCACACATTCTCATTTCCTCTATGGGCACAGATCAAGGAACTGTGTCTGTCTGTTCCTGCACTGCACCTAGCAATGTGCTTGGCTAAACCAGACTTCAGCAACCATATCTAATTGTGATTTTAAGACAAAAAAAAACCAAACCCAAAAAAGCCTGAAAAGCCATCGCTTCTGCTAACTTCCTCTTTGCCCTTACATCGTTCATACGTAACCAACAGCTGCAGCTTTTAGTACACACAAGTGAAGAGGTAAAATTATCACTCCTGTTTTCCAGAATCTCAGGATAAACCATTATATATTCAAACAGGATCATTTACCAACTGATAACTCTGAAGCTTCTAAGGCACCAACCCAGTTTCAGTCACTGTGTATAGCACCAGTGGTTTTACAAAAGTCCTATGAACTTGGCTGAAGCTTTATAATGCAATTCTATTAACCTAAGCTCCACATGGAGTTTCATGTCTGTGTACGTGTCCCTGCACACAGAAACTTTCAAACCGATAAGCTGACAACCCTCCCCCAAATCTGGACACAGTCTCAAAACTTCTTAAAGTTTTGCAGGAGTGGGGCACTACAACTACAAACAAACTTTTACATTATTTTCAGAGGTCAAAGGATATTTTTATAAAAAGACAGAAAGCCCAGACAACATCTCTTAAGATTCAAACAGAATTCCAAACATCACCTGTAGCTGCCAGCTGAAAGAGGAGTGCTCATTTGGAAAAGAAAAAAGGAAGAGGGGTGTTACTACAAAGCAACAGTTCAGAGTCCTTGTATTAAACCATCTTGCCAGTCTTATTCGTATTAACTGTAAGCATAGTAGGTATATCAAGATAGCTTGATATTCAAACCAAACTTAGCAAAGGAAGCAACTGGTATGTTATGACTTTACAAGACGTATGCTTAAAGATGCATGGGAGCCAATCACAGCCTGAGTTATTATCAAATTAACAAACAGTTCATGCCAAAAAGCTCAGGTCTACACTCTCCTGACACTGTCATATACAAGACAAAAGCCTTAGTTCAGGTAAGAACTAAGTTAATCAGTCATTTGAACCACCTGCCAATGCAACTACCCAATTTCAGCATAGCTGCCCCTACACAAGAGGAGCAGTAAGGGCAGTGTAACTCCAGGAGAAGACACTCACATCTATTGCATCTCTTTCAAATATGCGGAGCTGCAGAAACAGCTCGAGCTTGATCTTGCGCTCTTGAAAAAGCTCCTCCATCTGAGACTGGGCCTCATCCAGCTGCTGCAGGACTGTCTCTATGTGGTTGATCGAGCTGTTATGGGGGGTCTTGTTACTAGAAATAGCAGAATCCCTATTCAACAAAGAGAGAGAGAGGGAGAAGGGAAAAAAGGAAGAAAAAAGTATTATTGAAAAAAACCCTGCACAGTTTGGATGCCACAAATCTAAGACTGTTTAAATACTCAGTGCAAGCCATATTACGTGAAAGCTAAGTCTGTACATCTCTATTAATGTAAGTCCAAATTATATTTTAGTGCTTGAAAAAGCATTAGGAAATTTGATGACTGTAACTTTTTGACTAGTTCAACATGCAAGGACATTCTGTTTACAGGAAGAACAGAATCTAAAACTATACAGACACTCTTTTATTGTGAAAAGGAAGTGGCATATGATAACTATTTACTGTACTGAACCTTCCTGGCAATGAAACAAAAAGAAATTAGATAGTTTTTTTTTAATTAATTAATCTTTTACTTTATTATAAAACCTGCAAATTCAGATATGATAGTATGAGCTCCTGCAGCAACGGGGACATATACCAGCACAGCTGGGGCCAAAATTTATTTATGATGTTACTGACTGAAATGGACTGCAAACTGATGGCCTTTACTACAATAAAGTTACTTATCAGTCTGCAAAACAATTTGAAGCATCTCTCCATAAAAAGGCTGCTGCTCAGAACCTATAAGGCTGTGAAGCCCTGCCTGTCAGACTACAAAGACATATTATTGCTCCTATCAGAAAGGTAGCTTATGTAAACAAAAACTCCATGTGGAGGTAGTGTTTCTAAGCTGAGATTCCTGTAAACAGAGGGTTAGAGACCATCAGCAGCATCAAATATCATTGTAGTCCCAATATTTACAAATTTTATTTATAGGCCATATCTTCTAGTCATCATCTCTACCCTCAAAACAGAAAGCCTCACAGAATATCAGATGTACACCAGAAGAGATTTAAGTAAAAATTTGTTTTACCTTAGTTGTTGTATAAGATCTTCTCCTTCTTTTATAACATTGACTGTAACCTGCAGAGTGGTCTGTTGTTGTTGACCAAAACGTTTAATCAGGTCTTGGACAGCCTCCACAGACTCAGCATAGACATCATCAAGCAGTTCTTTCTGTAGCTCTTCAAGCCATGTCCACAGCTAAAGGAGAGGGCAGGAAAAAAAAGAAGAAAAAAAAAAAAAAAAGAAGCATAAGCCCCAGGATCAAGGAGTCACTATTCCAAATCTATCTCCCTGAACAAGAGAAAGCAGACTGAGATGGAGGGAAGAAACAGGATTTGTTTCTCTTCCCAGAAAAATCCTATCCCAAATTTAACGAAAACAAGCCTTTGTTTCATTCTTTTCCATTTTCCTTCTAGAGTGCTGAGCGTATGCAGCGCAGAGCTCATAGCGAGAATCCCATCTGCAGCTCCGCGCCAGCGTCCCGGGGAGGGGAACGCTATGGTAACACTCAGAAAGAAAGAAAGAGAACGAAAGGAAGGAAGGGAAAGGAAGGAAGGGAGGAAGGGAGGAAGGAAGGGAGGGAGGCAGGCAGGAAGGCAGGGAGGGAGGCAGGCAGGGAGCGAGATGTAGCTACCATCAAATTTACACTGTCAGGCTGACACATGCACACAGATGACACAACACTTTTTAGTGGCCTTCAAAGAAAAAGGAGGAAGGGCATTTTGGAAAACAAAATATAGATACAAACCAGATATGAGTAGTTCTTTTCCACCATGATCTCTACAGCTATGGTATTTACCCTCTTGATTTCTACTTCATATTGAAAATCTAAGTAATTCCACTAGTTGATTCAACATTTTCCCCCCTACTTGGCAAGTGCACATGTCCCTGTCCAGAACTGCCCATGCACCACAGCTTACCCAAAAATCCCCAGGTATATCCTAGCCAGGTATCACTACTAGTCACTTGAATCTTTTCAGCAGTTTTATGAGGCCAGCTGTTACCTCCCAAGCTCTGTGAAAATTATTCACCCGCAAACCGTTAGCCATCCGTTCTGCAACTGATAAAAACACTGCCTGAGGGGTGGGGGGGCTGCTGCCCCCAGCAGCACTAACTGCACAGTGAAGCAGCTACTCTCAGAAGCATTCCAACTGGTTCCCTCCTCTTTATTTTACCATCACATCCAAGGATTAGTTTGTTTTTTATCCTGAAAGAACAACTCTGATCTGATTGAAAGTATTAAGGTCTTTTGACTGCATTTTAACCACTGCCTTTATACGCTGCAGAAATACCAACAGGCTTTATTAGCTTTGAGCCTAATTAAAAGGTTAACGCAGCTAAAATACAGACAGTAAGCAATCAAAACTGACTTAATTTCAAAGGATGGAAAAACAAATGTTTTCTTTACTTCTTTGCTTAACATCTTCCACAGAAATACCCATTTCATGCTGCTATTTGTATAATACTCTGATCATAAATGTTTCCTACCAACGGAGCCACATTAAAATAGAAAATTCAGTGAAGGAATCTAGATCTTGATTAATTGGTTCCTTTTAAGCTTTATTTTAAAACAAAATGCTAGGCTTTTTTTTTATCTTCGAGCCTTACATACCTCCTGAGGTAGGTTCTGAATTAACCAAGCTATAGGGTATATCTTCACAATTGGGACGAATTAATGATTTTTAATCAGATTTTTTCCTACAAATCTAAGACTTCCCCTGCCCCCAACAGAACTGCTTATTCATTTGAGTAGTCAGAGTAGTTACTCTGACTACTCAAATGCTTCAAAGACAATGCCTGTCACAGATTTGAATGGAACTCCATAGCCAAAAACACCACAAGCTCAAGCCACAGCAATCTTATTAAAAGGAGCACAAATCAATAGAACTTACCAAGTGTGTCAAAAGCACTTGTCAACATTCATTACAGAATAACCCAGTGCAGCATCCCAATTTTTTCCCCAAATGCATACTTAGAAATGAAAATTAAAACTGAAAATTAAAACTTTCATTTAATGAAAGCTTAAAGCAAGAAGCCTGACAATACCACCCGACAACATTACTCAGGCTTCAATGCCCAGAGGACGTTTTTATCTCTCTCTTAGCTTATGAAGTTATATCTGAACCGTAATAACACAACACCATGTTAGAGATCTTCCAAGTGGGCTGGTGTGTAGACACAACCAGTACAGCTCGCAGCTGTGCAAATGAGAGTAAAGCTTTGTTGTTGCCTGCAGACCTAATGTGTTTGGTGGAAGGCCTCTACGCTCCATGCTTACTGCACCACCTGTAGACAGCCCGCTTTTCAGAGACGTTTATCACAGAAAAACTGAGATTAAAACCACTTTGAGTCTCTTGGACTGTATCAAGTTTGCCTCTTAGCTCCCTTACAAGTACCTGTACTGCAGCTCCAGACAAGTTTAAGAACCACTTCAATTTTTTCCATTATGTCTTCTGCGCTGGGTTGTGTCAGACCTGTACAGGGGACACCAACTCTATCCATTTCTTCTTCTGCATATACACTTCAGCCACTTCTATAACTAGGTGGAAAGGACTTGGCAGGAGCAATGAAAGTTAGAAGTGTAGGGCTGGTGATGTACTGTGTATGTGAATACTACCCGTAGAGCTCACCCTTGATGCTGGAGACCAAGCCAACACAGAACAAGCAGATCTTTCCCTCTGTGTAGCCAGTTCAAAGGGACACCACCTGCCTAGAGCAGAAAGACATGGGCACCAGCACAACAAAGTGCTGTGCCAACTGGCTTAGTGCCTGGTCAGCACAGCAGGACTGTAAGCGTGGTATCTTGCCCCCAAGGCACCAAAGGGCTCAAAAGTACACTGTGTTTGCCTAGTTCATTAGCTGAATTGCCCACTGCTTGGGAAGCAAAACCATTTTACAGATGTGCAGAAAAAGAAGGAGAATAATTAGTATGCACACTTGCCTAGCTGTCATTCATATGCTGTTGGAAGTGGAACAATTTAAGCCATTTCTGAAGCAACTAAAGAGCTTTGTGACATTTCCAAAGCAAAAGTTACTCTAATAGATAACAAAATAAGCATTTTACACTTTTCCAACATGAAAGTTCCTGACCAACAGCTTCCCTGCAAAATAATCTTGATGTTTATACACAGAAGTTAAAATAAAGCCACCACAAATGAACAAAACTATCAGGTTATTAAATCTAGATAGAAACTAATGCAATTAAAAAATTAATTCATAATGGATGGCAATAGCCAGCTGGCTTGTATACAGCTTTAAAAACAGAATGAGTGCTGGATATACTGGAAATTACATAGATTACCTTGCTTTCAGGTACAGACCTAAGAATAAAGACAGTACTAGGTTGCACAGCAAAGCCAAAAGAGAGCCAGCAATTTACAGCAGGGGGTGAACAGAATCTGGAGCTTACCCATACATGTTCAGCAGTGCAGATCTACAGAATTTATAGTGTAATGATTTTCTGAAGTAACACATTATTCCATAAAAGACAGCTTGGCAACAAAAATTCAGTGGAAAAAGAAAAAAAAAAAATACAACAACCACACACACAAAAAAACCCCAAACAACCACACACACACACAAAAACCCAACCATAAACTCATCATTAAAAAACTATTAACTTTCTCTCAGTGTGAACTTTTGAGTAACTTCCAGGCATATTTTTTTCTATTCTCTGTAAAAGAAGCAGCATGAGGATCCCTAAACAGACTAGTGAGCGCTGTGACCTCAGTAAGAACTTTATCCAGTGGCAAGACAGCTCTAGCGTACAGTGAGAAAACCGTATCAATAACTCAATCCAGCCACAGAAGGAGGCTCTTCTGCTCTTTTCATCTACTCTTCACATCTTATCAGAATTAAAATTGCAGAGTGAAACCAAACTCTGAAACCCTGACAGGCAAATGTTTCATCCAGCAGATTTTTTTTCTTGATCTAAATATAGCACAGACTAAGAAACATCTGCTTGAGTGAGCCTGCATCCTGTGTTACCTCTTTCCTAAGTTCTTGGGAGCATGCCATTAGTCACTAAGATGGTATTATTTTAATTGTCTGCAACATCCTGGAAGTTTCAGTGTTTCCATCATGGGCCTCTATCCATTTAAGTCCCATCCCTGCCATCTCCTGAAAAGAGTGCAGCTAAATAAGACCTTACTGTATTTTGCTGAATATAATCAGACTCATTATTTTTGAGTAAATACCTCCTCAAGTGTACTGAGTTATTTTATTAGGGTAAAACTCATCACACTCT